TTCCACCGATTCTTATGAGGTGAGATAAGGTGATATGTGACTTAGGTAATGTTATACACATTTTGATGTCTTTTTTTAATTACCTTGCTTATTTTTGGAAAGTTTTATATGTGATTGGCTTATTTGGTCTATATCATAGCATTCGGCGAGTCTCTTCTCATGTCATAGGGTGACAATGTGAGTAAGGAATCCGAAAACGAAAACTAGTTTTGTATGTCACCAAGACTTGACCAAACTTAAATTTTGATTTGGACAAAAAGTAACCTGTAGATTTTGAATTTGAACATGGGAAGCCCAACATATCAGATTTTAATACTTAAAATACAAATTATTTGTAAAACACTTTGAAAATGAATCTTATATCATTCTTAATTGCTTTTGTAATTTGTAAAAGTTATATTGTTAAAGATATACAGCGTGTCGTTACCAACGCGACAATAAATGAGTATACATATAGAGGATAACTTTTTAAAATTGTATCAAAAATTTATATTCTTTAAACATCAATATTTACAGAGTTATAAAATTTTCCAAAACAAAGAATTTTAGAACACCCTTACGTATAAAACTGTAACGTAAAGTTCATTTGTAAAGGTCACAAGCATATGAATGGGTTGAATGAATTTAAAAGAGACAAAACATACTGTTAGAAGGAGAGGCTTGTAATGCGACGCCGTGGCAACGAATAAAAAAGTCTCTGAATATATGAGTCAGTCAGTTGTAGTTGTATAGGATGTTACAAATTTTGTTTCTTTTTTACTTAATTAGTTTGTTTGAAAAATATTTTTTTTAAATTATGGATATTTTTTAACGTTAATATTTTTTTGTGATTATTGGCAAGTTGCGTCAGCCGTGTGTTCATTTATTGTCGCGATGGTAACGACACGCTGTATACGTAAATATAATCGGTAATGACAGAATAATGAATAATTGATTTTGATTTAATAGTAAATTGGTATTTGTCATAACCTAGGTACTTATGATGTACATATGAGTATTAATATAAACTTGTTTTTTATGTAATTGGAATATCGACACAATTTCAAATTCAAAAATTCAATTCGATTACTTACCTAAAAATAGAGGACATCGGTTGCAGTGCCTATCGCGTCGTAATCTGATGTCAGGGGCTTAAATCCGAGAAGCGAGCATGGATGTCATTTTCCGTATTTCGCATTTCTTACATGTTCGTGGGTTCAATTCTGGACGTGCCTGCACATCCTTCAACAGCAATAGCTGCGTCGTGGTCCACAGTGATAAAATAATTTAAAATGTAGTAATATTAAAAAATATGTAGGTATGCATTTAAAGTTTTTAAGATGCAATAATTAAAACTGTAAATTAAAAGTTAGCCAGGCTGACATTGAAACCATTTTATTAGCAATAAGACGCTTAAATGGTAATCTGTAACACTCGTTACGTACCGGTCAAAGATTCGGCGAACTAGGTCGTGTTTTGGAATGTTAACAACTACCCTCATTAGAGTATTCCTCAGAGGCTACAGCTCCGTGCCCGACTATACATTTGCCGGTTAGGAGTTTACAACCCAGTACCCCCCCCCCCCCCCCCCCCCCCCCCCCCCCCCTCCCCCCCCCCCACTGTACAACCCGCCATTAATTATAGTCGGCGTTTCATCGTAATGCAGTGTACACTGTTGTCGCGTTCTGTTCCGTGAACGTTACTCCAAACAACACTATTAATTGTCCGGCGTTCGCTTTACCAAAATATAGCCGGCGAATTCTGGCGTTGTAATTTATTCTTCAATGCACACTTTCCCGCTTGTATTATTTATGAAAGTATAAAACAACATGAAGAACGAAGTCTTCCGCTATCGTCGTATCTCTTTAGCCGTTCCAATATGCTTCCGTGAATGAAGTCAAATTAGCTATATTTTTAATGCTCTCTTTGATACGTACGGTATTTCATTTTGGGCGTGTTTTTTTTTTTTAATTTATCCGTTTTGCGGATGAATGCAAAAAAATAGGTAGCTGAAAGAAACGATTCGTTTCTTGATTTCCTTATCCGAAGTGGTTGTTTAAGTTTAACCACAAATTAAAAAAATAGTTTTTATAACTATTTTCTTATTTATGCTTTTAACTAAGCACAATATACATGAAATATTTGAAAATTGTTTACCTTTTAATTTTAAATATATTTACAATATTACAAAGCAATTTAAGCATTTGTAATTTAGGTAATTATATTTTGTTTTATAGTTTAGAATATTTTTATAGTTGACTAGCGGCTGCCCGCGACTACGTCTGCAGGCGTAACATTGCGACAGAAAGACAAATATGCATAAAATATGTATAATAATTATAGCCTATGTCTTATTCTGTTGTATAAGCTATATCATTATAAAGTTTCAATACAATCCATTCAGTAGTATTTGCGTGAAAGAGTAACAAACATCCATTCATACATACAAACTTTCGCGTTTATAATATTAGTAAGGATGATGCGAATATCTTTCGACTTAAATAATCTATATATATAAAATTCCCTATTTCACTTGGTCACGTCATCACTTTGTTTTTTGTTGTGTTTGTTATTATCAGAAGAAGGTTCTAAAAAAAACACTTCTATATCCCCGTAAAAAGATTCGTAATAATATTTAAAAGTCAATTTGAACTTTAATACCATACCATAAAGTTTAAGTGTTAGTGGAGGGGTTCCAGGAAGGCAAAACAAGTGAGTGATTGTGGTAAAATGTCACTTGAAATGGAAACGTCTCTTTGCTGTGCATCACTACATAGTATAAAACATAGTCGTCCCGCTGTCTGTCTGTCTGTCGCTATGTATGCTTAGATCTTTAAAACTACACAACGGATCTTGATGCGGTTTTTTTTATTAGATAGAGTGATTCAAGAGGAAGGTTCATATGTATAATACATTGCACCCGTTCGAAGCCGAGGAGGGTCTCTAGTACCTTATATTAACTTTTCAAAACATGTGTTAAATACAATTAATTATTTATTAATCCTATTTCTCTGGATGTATTAAAACATGAAAAGAAAAATATACATTTCATTTTCTGTCGAATTTCTGCCAGCAAATTCTTATCATTATCTCAGTTACCATTAGTATCATGTCACTAAATAACCTCAGGTAGAATATCTTATTTTACCTTTAATTAGAAACGATGCTGTAGCAAAAGTCCGCCCACTCGATATTTCGGTGACATTTTATAATTTTGCTAGATGCTGTAGATGTTCGTGAAAATCCCTTACTGGAGAGTCAAAATTAAAGCGAAAAAGCTTAATTTTATAGATGTGTATGTTTAAGTCGTTTTATTTTGATGTTATTTCTTCATATTTTACTTTCGCAACGAAATACAAAATACTTATTTTATATGATTGGTAAACAAGCAATCGAAAAACAAAACGTGTTTTTTTTTTAATTCTGTGTAAGTAATATCGTATATAAATGTTCTAACCAAAATAATTTCCCAATTTTCTTAGGTTTAATTGACACAGACTGATAAGTTTTTAAAACCTCTTTTTTCTTTGTTTATTTGTTGGTTGTTAGAAATAACGAAGTGTCGTTACGTTTTTTAACAATTTTGTTGAGACTGAATGAAATTATCATCGACAAATCGATTTCTCATTTAGCTAGAGGAGAACAATGGATTGTAATTACTTCAAATTGGCGAAGGTACTTTAATTAGCTGTTCAGTTAAGCTTTCTTCAAAGCATTAATTCAGCATTAAAGCTTAAGGAGTCAAGAAGACGTTTTGTTCTAATAAAACCGTGAAATATAATGAATGAACGTTGATATTTATTCATACAAACAAAAAAATGGGTTCCTCTTGTGGAACCTGAATAATTTTAAACCATTGATTACGGTGCGGTAGATGGCCAAGTTGTGATTACATAGTTCTTGTACGTCAACAAGGCCTAATGTGTTGCTCGTTTAAATAGGCTCGCAGTCGACTATGAATGCACGGCAAGCTTACCTGAGCGTTTCATCAATTTGATGGTGCTCATTTATCGCATAGCGTGTTAAAGTGAAACCTATATTTTGTCTTTGATAAAACGGGGATTAATGGCGAATGTACTGCTAACCTTTGCCCATTAGCGGCATGTTCCCCGCTAGATGAAGCCGTTCACCTTTCACATGTAGGCCATTAGTACGGAGATAGGATCGGTATTGCGGTACGTACGTGCCTTCGCGCGCTTTCCCCGCTATTGAGATAACTGGGTATGTTAAATACGCTCCTTTTCAGCGTGAATTGTCGCTCGACGTCCCGTGAAGCTAGATATTTTGCGCCTGGTTTTCAGAAAATAACGAAACTTATTGGGCTTCGTGTTTTGTTACAGGCGCCGATGAGCCGATTTTCACAGCACAGCCCAGCGTGTCGGCTGATTGCACTAGGGTATGTTTGCATTGCGTTTATATTGAGAACGAAGCAGAACTTATTTGGAACTGGACCATACGTTTGGAATAGACGGGTCTCAACGTCATATATTCATCGACCTGATATAACTTATTACGTAAAGCTGGCATGCGAGCATGTAGTTCACCTGGTGTAAAGAGTGCGTCAACGCCCTTAAACATAACACCTGAGGGGTTGCAGGTGCGTCGCCAATTATTAAAGTGTGTACCCCAGTGACTTACACACTAGACGTAACTCAAAATTATAATAGCTCCTCTACACACTGGTCTTCTGTGATACCGTGGTTTTTTTGATTGCATTCTACAGGTTATATCACGACTTGATGTATGAAGTGTTTTTTTATGTATGAAGATGGCAAGCTAGCTGGCGGTTCACCTGATGTTGCGTGATAATCGCCGCCCATGGACACTCCAACGACCGTAGTGTTGCAGATGCGTTGCCATGTTTAAAAAACTAGGCCCCGGTTACCTCACTCACCGGAGGAAACGCTGAAGGTTAACACTCCACTTCGCGCTGGTCTTCTGTGCGGGCCGTGCTACTTCCCCGGTCGAACGTGCCCAGTCGTGCAAATGCAGACGCTGCTGCGAGTCCCCAACACAGTTGGATGTGTGCCGATCTCGCGCCGTTTATCGAGGACACTCGAGCGTTTGATTTATTACGGGCGTCGGTGCGGAGCGCGACTGGGCTGCGCTACGTGCACACGTCGCCTGTCGATCAATCAACGAGCGGACGGACGCGCGACAGGCCATTAGGCGCCTCTCCTCGGCTCAGGTGGCGCCGTGTCTACAACGAGCGCCGAATGACTGCTCACAGCCACCTCATTTCTACCTTATTACTCGTTCGCATGTAATAAAGATCGCGCATTTACCCGTCTGTCAATGTTATAATAATTTATTGTACACCAAAGAAGAAAAATAAACAAGTTCAAAAGACAAAATATCGGTCATCAAAAGGTCTTATTGCTTACACGGCAATTTCTTCCAGGCAAACTCAGAAATATTCTTAAAGGAATTGTTTATAGGTAGGATTTACATGAAAAGAAATAAAAAACATGCAACAAAAATTTAACATCATAAGAAAAACATACCTCTTGTGAGTGATCATCCGTTTAGGAGTGAAATAAAAAAGGAGGTAGAGAGACAGATAATGTTCCTTAACGTGTTTTTAAAAGAATCTAGGGTTTGAACAGGTAGTAGAATTTAACAGAGTAGGAAGGTACGCAAAGGGTTTCAATTTCTTTGCTTCTTTGTTCCTTCAACTATTGTGGACTTGATACATTAAATAGGATGCAGTATAGAACAGAAAGAACATGAGTATTCCAGCGCAAACGAATCGAGAGCGACTTGAGCTTAATGCAGTATTCTCATACATGGTCATAATACTAACTCCAAATACGAACCGTATACATAGATTTTCAAATCGCTCAAGATTATTTAGTTGCTTCTCGGTTACGTTGAGATTATATATATGTCAGCCTAATCTAGGATCAACAACAGCTACTGTGGTAGAACCACGCAACAGTGTTCGCTGTTGCACGAATGGGCAGTTCCGTCCGGTTCAGTACCACGACCACACAGAAGTCCGGCGTTAAGTATAAATGTTATACTTCTGCGTTTCGTCTGGTGAGTGAGGTACACGGGGCCCACATTATTAAGAGGTGGGAACACAACTGCAACCGGTGTTGACGACCCGAATGGCGTAGTGGGTAGTGTACCTGCCTTCTGCGCCAGAGGGTGTGGGTTCGATCCCCACTACTGGAAAAATATTGTGTGATGAATATAATGTTTTTCTAGTCTCTGGGTGTTCATATATCTATATTATGTATTTTTTTTTAAAAGAAAAGTATGTTTATCAGTTATCTAGTACCCATAGTACAAGCGGTCCTTAGTTTGGGTTTATAAAACGTTATGTCAAAATGTGTCCTAAAATATTAATATTTAATTAATATTAATATTATTATAATAATGGCAAAGGCTAAAATTTATTAATCAAATTAAATTATAGCCTCTACTATTTGCGTTGAAGTTTTATTATTGTTTCGGTTCTAAAATTCAACTAATGAACATAGAAAGTGAACCATTTGTTCCCTTAATAGTTTTAATCTTAGATCGGAAACACAACGCAACATTAATATGCAAGCAGGTAATAAAAAAGCTCGTAGTTATTTGATAAAATCACTATTATGTTCAAATTTACATGAACGGAGAAGGGCCTCGACAATCGACTGATTTGATTATTGGATATCCGTTGATTGTCGAAAAGAGTTCATAAGTCTTAAGATAAGAACTCTTTAGTCTTATTCAGTTACCATTTATGTAACGATGACCGTTAAGACTGCCTAATCTGTTTGCCTTCACGCTGACTAGTCCCAGCCATTTCCTGCTGTCTTCAACAGCATCCTAACGACGTGAGTGATGTGTTTATACCGATGTTTGTAATTTGTATGATGTGTTTTGTAAATGTAATTGGTACATCTTAATACCGATTTTTCCGCAGTAGTCTTGTAGGAAGTTCTGTAATTTTCCTATGATAATACTTCCATGAAACGCCTTGGTTTCCGTGCAAATTAACGAAATCACAGGAACGCTTAAACTTTGCTTATTATTTTTCAAACCAAAAAGATTTAAGTCAGATCAGTGGATGTATGTTATTAACTTGAACATTAAAAAGCCAATCATGAATTTACTATAGCTAAGGTCTGATTTGGCCATAGGATTATAGCTGTAAAAAAGGGAATGATACAATATGACTTAAATGTTCACTAATTTTGCCACGTAAGTAGTTCTGTGTAAATACGATGTATGTACATAAAAATTCACACATTTATAATGTTCAGAGACCAATGAAGTACCTAAAATTTTCAATGACTGCCTGAATTTAGACATTACTAACTGTAATTATTTCGTAGAATCAGCCAAGTGTCGTGTGAAACCAAATATATGTATGTCGAGCAGAGCTCCGGTCATTATAGAATAGACCATTAATTAGGGCAGTGTTTCATAGTAATGCACTGGCCACCAGTGACGCGTTATGTCCTGCGGTGGGGCATTATTTGTTACACAATATTGTTGGTCAACTGCTAGCCGTTTGCGTTAATGTTTCCGATGGTTGTCATTATTGTACATGCTTTTAAAATCGTAATGCTATATATACATTCAACAAGTAACGGAGAACTGGAAATAGGATTGAGTTATTTAACTTGTTGTTGCTTAATTTTACGATTTTAATCGCGTTTTATTTGTAATGCATTGCTAGTGACAATAACTTTAAGCTAACTATAATAATAATAATATTATAATTTAAAATAGAACATAAATTATAAAATTGGGGTTAAAAGGTCAATTTACTTAAGAGTTGTTGATTTATACAGGGTGATTTTTTAGACGAAGTAATTCAAAAAATATATTAATATCTTTGATTCTTAAAATAATCTTCGAAAAAAAATGAAGTCACAAGTTCGTACCAGATTCAGATTTAGAATCAAGTTCTGCATATGCCTTGTTAATATGTCCATTGTCAATAAAATCACCCTGAAATCTAACTTAATTAGATAGTATCTAATGAACCTATTCCACGCCAAAAACGCTTGCTGCATTTCCTCGCTGTATAGTTATGTTTAACCTTTGGGCGGGAAATGAACTAGCTCTCCTGTCACCAGCTGCAGCGTTAAGCCTAGGACGTGAAACTTTCAAAAAATGCGATGTACGTTGAAACCACGGACCTAAATTATATTGAAATTCTTTTTCTATTTAACGAGTTGATGGATTCGGTAGACGGTTGGTATTGATGTCCCTAGTGGCGCAAACATATTGTTAAAATGTTGCTACCGGCAGCTGCATCAGTTCAATACATAATGGGCTATTTGTGTGTGCATTTTTAATTTTTATTAGTAAAAGCAGTAAGCACAAAAGGGGTTAAGATAAAAAAGCCTATGAGATTGCTACTATGATATATTTTGTACAGACCGTTAAACTATAAACAGAAAGGGTTACGCATTATTATTTTGCTTCCTATATAGCAGAAGCAGATACAAGAGCTTTCATAATACTTTTCCTGTCGCAATCTTGTACGAGATGGTAATTAAAAAGATTTCTATAATGATTTGAAATCTTTTTAACATGAAGTCTTTAAGCAGAGAAAGGTGCAAACGTTCGAAGCTGCCGGCTAATATGTGATTAAAAGTAAGGTACCCGGAAGAAAACTGTTCCCAATGACGTATGATAACTTTTAAATATAGATTCAGTCAGGCATATTAAGACATTTGAAATAAAAGTCAAAGGTAATATTCAAACTATTTTAAAGATTTGATTTTTGCCTGGAATTGTGTTATGAAACTGTGGCACAAAAAAGTGCCACGGACTCACACAAGAACTGCATGAAGCGGAAGTGTTATACTTTTATGATGCGGCTGGTGAGTGCGGCAACAGAGGCCTTGTAATGTTAGCAATGTATCTAAAACCCGCCAGATGCTGTACTTGTCTATAATCTAATAAATGTAGGTAATAGCTTAGCATCAAGTGAACCGCCTGCTCGTTTGCTAACTTTTAAAATTAAAATATAGATTTTTCAGTAAATATGAAGCAGTTGGTGGAGAGGACTATATTTGTAGACATTGAAATAGATAGGTTTTTAGAAAAATTTGTTACCTTATATCCTTTGCGAAATATCCCATAAAGCTATATAAACGATATAATAGCAACAATGGGCGGAAATACAATGGCTCTTTGAAACTAACAAGATCCACTATTAAAGTCCAGATATTCTAACTCGGACCGTCCAATTAGATTGATTTATCCTGGAGTTATTATTTCCCCTAAACAAACCTTATGCCCTCTGCTAAACTGCAATATTGGAATAATACACTTGCTCATTACTTAATAATTAGTTAAAAGGTCAAATGTTAACGCGAGGCAACCCTGCAGTAGCATAAATGCATCACTAATGTAGTAGCGTGTTTGATCGCTGAGCACCGGACACGATGATGCGATGCATTGTGTTCTGCGTGCGTTAGGGCGACACAAGCACAATGTGCCGTTTACGGCTATAATGGGTAGGTGTATAGCCCATACAATGCGCTTCTTTGATCAGTAACCATTACAGTTTGAAAAAGACATTTTCCTCTTTTTGTTTCTTTTTTTGCTGTAAACAAAACAGGGGTGGTCATCTGTTGTGTGCGTATAATTCCTCATTATCTAAAACATGAATCGCGATGGACTTGTCTTTCTGTAGTTCCTGTTGATAGGGGATGCTACCCCCAGTCAGATAATAGCTACCGATCGAGCCGAGGTCCGGCCCTCTCGGTCACCCTCGAATCGGAATGCTAAACGCGTGTTGAGTGACAGACCAAGCCCAGGTCCCCTCTCGGGGACCCTTGAGCCTGATCACTCCATGGAGCGCCAGCCAAAGCGCCCTAAGAGCTTGGCGGCCTCCCAAACCGGTGAAAGTAATAGCGTGACGGCCCGAGCCGAGGTTCCCCCGGGAGCCCTCGAGCTTAGTCACCATAACGCGTAATAATAATAGGTTAATACCAGGCTACGCGCCCCGTGCGCCAGGCCACCTCAAGCCCGTCGGAACTGTAAAGGCCCCTAAGGCCAACAGTGGCTCATCCAGCCCAAAAAAAAAGCGGATGCTGTGAAATATGAACGATATTATCAATAACTGGTACACTATGTATGTATTTTGCAACCTATGTAGAAAAAGAAGTATAATAATGTACTGTCCAAACATAGTGTGGGATCACAAATTATGATTTTGTCTTAATTTACCTCGGCTGCAGAAGACAAACATAAATAAATTCTCGCTACGTATGAATACATTCACGTATCCTCGAACTACATACATATGCAT